AACAAACATTCCATAGTCAACGTTGTTCTCTTGTGTTGGCAAGTTTGGAATCGTTAGGATCGGCCACTTACGTATATCATCGTCAAAAGCATTTTGTGTATAAGGGTATATATGAGATATCTGAAAAGGTAATAAAATTTAATTTATAATATTCAATATCATAACTCCTCAAATAAAAAAGAAATCTAACTAGCACTTACAACTTCAGGAGCCACAGCCTTGTGAGTGGGATTGGGTAATGAATCCAAAAAAAATCTATGTTTTTTTCCTTAGATCGCAGATCAGGAGTGTCCAATGCTTTTCGTTTATGATGGGAACAAGGATAAGATAAACATTCATAACAGAAGTTCTAGTGATATGCACAACAAAAGCACTTGTCTCCGTCTGATTTCCGTGACGGTAATAACCCTAGAATAAATAGGATTTAAATTGAGAATTTGTTAAAAGCACAAATAGGAATTACAAATGATAACTCACCCAATGGAAACTAGAAATAAATATAAAAAGGTTGGTTGAGTCCTAGGATCAATTCATTCTTTTCGATTAATAACATTCCAAAAGCATTAACATGATTGTTATCAATCTCTTCTGACAGCAAAAGCTCATCCAATTGGCTTCTGTAAATAATTGCATTTCCGTAGGAGAAAATAGTATCACCCCTATATAATTCAGGTAATCTTCATTAGAAAAAAATAATATACATATGAATACTGAGCAATATCGAATATTTTTTTACTTGATACATGTCGGTATTGATACTATCTACTCGGTACTTGATATTCCTACTAGGTACTTATCAATAAAAATTGGTAAGACTCAAGAATTATAGAGTACAGTATAATAATTATTTCAAACTTATAAATACCGAGCAATACCGAGTTTATTTTTTACTAGATACTGCTCGGTGTTCATATTATGAACTCGGTACAATAAGCTTATGATCGTTCGGTTCTGCTTGGTATTTGGTGTTCCTGCTAGGTACTTATCAATAAAAACTGGTAAGACTCAAGACATTATAAAGTACCTTACATTAATTATTTCAAACTTGTTAATACCGAGCAATACCGAGTTTATTTTTTACTCGATACTGCTCGGTGTTCATATTATATACTTGGTACATTAAGCTTATAATCGGTCGGTACTGCTTGGTATTTCATGTTCGTACTAGGTACTTATCAATAAAAACTAGTAAGACTCAAAACATTATAAAGTATCGTACAATATTTATTTGAAACTTATCAATACCAAGCTATACCGAGTTTATTTTTTACTCGGTACTGCTCGGTATTCATATTATCTAATCGATACAATAAGCTTATGATCGTTATACTGATCGATACTGTTCGATACAATAACTTAATAAATGAATATCATGGCTCGGTACTCATCGATACTCACTTATCCTTGAACTTCTTCAGAAAATTATCGATGCAAATCTGTTTCTCTCAGTTATTAATAATTTGGCTGGGTACTCTAACATTTCTGGTGCTAGCCGTTCAATTAATTTTGATTCATCAACGTCATGAACTACATTAGTGATAGAAGCAGTAACAGCAGCAAGAGTATCAATTATAGCCTTTATTTTTAATTTTGTAAAAGCACGAAGGGCAGGCTTTGTTGCTCTGCGTGCATTTTCCTTTTTATTAGTTTATTCAACAGTAGGAACAGGCACATGAACAGAAGTACTCTCAACTCTCTTCTTCTTCTTGTCACCTGCTGTGAATGGAGTTTTAACAAGTTTCCTCTTTCTTTCATTCCTCAACTGTACACGTCTAACAATGCCTCCCTGAATAGATTAATCAAATTACACATCTTCAGATTGGTCAATATCCTTCTCTTCTAAGGCTTCATTTACCTGGGAATGCAGATTCTTTGTGTGAGCACATTCCACTTCATGCGAGGGTGCAGATGGAGCAGATTGGGTAACAAGCTCATCCATCCCTTCCACCTATGCTTCTTTTGTAATTTCTTCAACAATTTGGGCGGCAGATTTGGCTGATCGGATCAAATTGTTATGGTCAGATACTATTCTTGAAGAAGATTTTACCAAACTTTCACTCCGGTGAGATTTAAAAGAGACAGGAAAATTATCATTCAAGAAGTTCTCTATAACACCAATATTCAATTTAGTCTCATCTTTTATGTCAAATACTACTTTTTCCAAAGCTGCAACCCTTCTTTCAAGTATACTATTCGATAGTTCGACCGATGAAAGGTTTTGACCAGTACATTTTGCTAGGTAATAATTGTGTAAATGGCTTAATTGAGGATCTTCAAGTTTGTTTCATCTGAAACAGGATGTTTTATATCAAGATCAGGGGTTGATTATTTCCGTGGGGTCTTACTGCTGCTTGGCGGTTTGCTAAGAGATTTAGTTGGGTTTGGCATTCTAATTGGACTGGCTGGACTTGGTGGAGATGGAGTGGGGGCCTAGAAGATATATTTGGGGTTGTGTGGGGGGTAAGTATAATTTGTAGATGCTCTTCTGTTGGATATGTGGAATAACTCTCAAGTAAAGTCTTCTCAGCATCTGTAATTTCTTGTAAATGTGTGAAAATCTACACAAAATGTGTTTATAGTCATAAGAAATATATAATTAAATCAGAAATTTAAATGACTACACCTAGGTTTGCTACCTCAGCATCCTCAAGGTCAATTAACAAATTGTTAACATCTTTCTCTCTAGAATTAAATTTTCCATCCCACCGAGTGAGACGGGGTCGGGCTACATCATCCACTACGGCGTGAAACTTTGTATGTTCAATAAACCAAATCTGTAAAAAATAAAACCAAACAATTCTGTTTAATCATGATAAAAAAATCATTGACATTAGTTATGTAATTAAAACCAAACCATATCTGTAAAAAATACTCATAATTACGATCATCACAAATCCATTGGCATATCCTAATGAATAACCTTTTGATTGTTTTTTGGCAATTGCATTAAATTCAATCACGAGGAAATCCCTAATGGACTGGGGCCAGTTATATGTTCCAAAGTTTTTGACATTCTTCGTAACGTTCAATATTGCAATTGGTACACGAAAGTTAGCCATTGGAAAGAACATGTTGGACAATAAGTAAACAATGAATTCTTTCACTACATTCTCTACTGGAGTTGACACATCCAATTTCTCAATATCATGTCCTATGTCATTTGCTGTCACTCCACTCATTCTAGCAGTTCTTGGCTCGAATTTCATACCTTTATTGGGCAATCCAAGAATCAGAGCAATTTCATCATATGTGAAATGTAACATCTTGCCATTAATAACAAAACATTTAGACCGCATATCCCACTTCAACAATAATATAAAAACAATTGGAACATTCTGAGGGAATCGAGGCAGTATTAGGAACTGATTAATATGTAGCTGGCATAGTCTTGCAACAAACGGCTCACCAAATTTTACAACCAACTGATTACAAACTTCTCTAAAAGTTGAAGTTCGACATCTGAAATGAATCTTGTGGGAATATCCCTACATAATAAATAATAAAAAACAATACTTATGTAAATACCGAGTATGAGTTTCAAGTACCGACTAGTACCGAGTAATATTACAGAGAATTCATAGCGATCAATATCCTTCTTTAACAAAAAATTTAATTCAATAGAAACTAAAAAGTATATTTTATAAAAACATATACACATTATTTTCAAGATATCTCTAAACTTACACCGAGAATTGACTTTGAATACCTAGTAATACCGACCAGTACTAAGCAGTACCGAGCAGTACCGAACAATACTACAGATCTTTCAAAAAAATTCACACTGTATTAAATATAAAATATATTATATAACAAATATAAAGATATATTGTAATACATGTTAAAATTTATACCGAGTATTAACTTTGAATACCGCTCTGTATCGAGCTGTACCGAGTAGCACCGAACAATACTACAGAGCTTTCATAAAATTTCACACATTATTAAATATAAATTATATTATATAACAAATATAAAGATTTATTGTAATACATGTTAAAATTTATACCGAGTATTAACTTTGAATACCGAGCTGTACCGAGTAGTACAAAACAGTACAAACATGTTCCCCGAATAATACCGTCCATTGCAGAAATCATATTTTTTAAAATTTAGAACAATAATTGTATATTATTCAAATAATAGACACTATTTTAAAATTCCATTAATGATCTAAATGATCAATACCGATAAATACATATAAAAATCGATCAGTAATACCAAATACCGATTAGTACCGAGCACTACTGCAAACCACCAAACACAAAACTCTAATTGATTAGAAATGTTCTCACAGTATACATTCACATTTTTACACTAAAATGAAAGTTAGTAAGTTAACCCTAACCCTAAAAATTTGTTTTTTATTTTTTAAAACTAGAAAAGCTATATGACAAGAATAAATGTTATTCGAAAGAAATTTTTAACCTGAGGCATTATTTCTCTCAATGTATTTGACCGGAAATTTGCTTCGAACTGATGGCAAATGCTTATAATTAATAGTATAATTAGTGTATAAATTAATTATCTAATTTAACTTAGTTAAATAGTTAGTAATATAATTAGTAATTAAAAATTACTATAATTACCTTAATTAGTATAATTTAAAATATAATTATTAAACATATAATTAATAATATATATAATAATTAAATAATTAATGAGCAGTAGAATTCTTAAGCTATTAATGAGATAATTAATAATAAAATTTATAATTAATACTGATAAAATAGTAATTAAATTATTAATTAAATAATTAATATGCTTATTAGTTAAATAATTAGTTATTTCCTTAATGGCAAACAACTTTATAACTTGATGCGGAAGCGAATTAAGTGGCTTTATATTACTCGTTCAATTTTAAATCTCTAACTATTTTAAATTCTATAATCTGTTGCCAAACAGATTTCTGAATTTAACAGAATTTAAAAATTATCATGACAAATACAATTCAGAAATTAAGAGCACAGAATTTACTAAATCCAATAAATCCTATGAATCCAATCCAATTCCGAACACCCCCTTAACGAAAAACTCTCTAAAACCCTAGCTCTCGAATCCCCTCTTTGCTCTGGCCATTCGCCGGTGGAGATGCCAGGCCGCCCGTCGGAACCCGAAAACGCTTTAATCCCCTTGCCAACGGAGGTAGATGTGCCTCTCTACCACATACGGCTAGGTGTCAAGCCCCCGATCTTCCGGGTTTTCATCTCGTGGTCGCGCGGCAATGTACTCCAAGTTGCGTGCATCCGACCTCTTGAGGATCATTTAGCCAGAGGGGAGGGACATGAAACTTCTGATGGTCCAGGGCTCGGCGGCAAGGTAGTTGAGGTGAAGCTAGGCGCCAGTGATCCGAATATCAGCGAAGCACAGAGGCGGAGGATTATTTACGACTCCGTCCCTCCTTTTGTTCTTCTTCAGAGCCGAAGGAAGGCATTTTTGACGATGTATAGGATGTCTTCTTCTTCCTCGCATCCCTCCACCGACTGGTAATTTTTGGAGTTTTTAAACGTTGATTTTTACTAGAATGAGGACCAATTTCTGGTTTTGTGTTTAATTCACGTTCCTTGATTATTCGATTACTTCTGTGAGAGAGTAACTGTTGTATTATTTTTTCCCGTTTTCTAGGACATGATTGGGCTAAGGGAAATCCATTTTGCAGAGTTTGTCTAGGAAAATTGTGTGGAATTCTGACAAATAGAAATTATAATTATAGTTTTTTTGGGTGCCACTGCGTCATATGCTAGCTAATTTTTATACATAAGAGTTCATATGTTTCTCGTTCTCTTGTCTGACTCATGCAGGTGGCAGCAAGTCTTGGAGTATAGTAGGAGCATTTCAGAACTTCTTGGGAGTTCAAAGCTTCCAGCTAAATCTGTAATTGAAGATCCAATGATTGTTTTGGAGGTGTTTTTCTCTGATGCTATCATCAGCATAGCTACCATTTTCTTCCTATTTTGAATTGATTATGTTTCTTCCTATTTTGAATTGATTCTGTACCAAGCAATAGTATTTTGATTTGTTAATATTTGTTTTCTTCTTTGCTGATCTTCTAATTATTTATTATATTATAAGCTTTTTTTATTTCTTTACTTTCCATAAAAGCTAAAAATAAGTTGCTCTAATTCCTATTTGATATTAATGGCAGCTTTTTTTCTTCAGCCTGTTGAGAAACCTAGCAGTCTTAAGGCTGCATGGCAGTTGATGGAGATCTTTTATGTAGATAAACATTATTTTTCATGGCTTCCAGAACGTCTTGTTGACTGGTTAGCGGTACTGATCTTCTTTGATATGATTTTGATGAGAATTAAAAAGGAAAAAAAATATTTTTTCTGTATTGCCCTTCTAAATTGTCTTTATATCTGTTACTTCTAAATGTTTCTACAGGAGTATGATGCTATTCTATCTGAGACACATATGACAGTCCATTCACAACTTGTCAAACTCCAAGAAAAATTGGTCAATTTGCAGGTTTTCATTCTCTTAAATTGGCTTGCATTGTGCTGGAAAAAAATTACTTTCACTGTTCAATTGTTGCTTTATATGTCCTAGCTTCTAGTTAAATTGTTAGAATTTCTGGTAATTTCCTATTGGTTACTCCTAGAACATTATACTTTACAATACATACCTGCAGCTATGCTTGTGGATGATTTAGCTATAAATATATTACATAGGTGATTGAGAATGATCCTGAGTATTGGGAAGGGCTATCATCAGTTCTTACGGTCGGTTGGCTTGATGTTGCGGTTAGTCATTTGATCTTTCATTTTTGTGCATTTAGTTTATGTTATGTGCAAGTTTTATATTCAAATTTAATGATATGGACTTTATATGCATGATTATTTAAATGGATTGCCTTTGACTTGTTATTCACCATCCAGGTTAAATTGTTGAGACTGCATGGATCTTATCATCTTAATCAGCTCGATAGTCGTGAGGTGTGTAAAATGATTGCATTGATTGAGTTTTACTCATTCTGGCATTATGTGATGATAAATGACAGAATTGACAAACTGTAAAATAAAACTTAGTGTTTCTTAATAGCATATACTTTGTTATTCTTTATTTAGTAGGATTGAATTAACTAATTTGCTCTTTCTGCTTCTGTTTCCCCAACAGTTGATAGAATGATTTTGGAATTATAAAATTCACACGCCATTTAATGCTTTAGGGTATTTCATAATGCACAAATTTTTCAGGGTTAGCAAAGGACTTTTGTAAAACTTTTTTTATTGACATAAAATTGAATGCGTGCTAGTTTTTAAAGACTGATGCCATAAATAAGGAAACTCATACATATTGCATGCATTTATGAAGCACATTTATGCATATGAATAAAATGCAATTATGACTTGTTATGCTTCATACAGACAGAGAATGGGCTGGTTGAGACAGTTGCTGTTCTTGTATCGACAATGCCACGTTTGCGTCATGATTTGCCTGTGGGGAAATCAGGCCAATGCTGTAAAACCAAACCAGATTTTATAAAGGTATTCTTGCGTATAGGGCAACCCAGTTATTGATTTTACATTTCACTGATGCAATCATATTACTTCAAACTGTAGGCATGGGAAAAATGGCGTGGTCAGATAACTAAACTAGACTGCAGTGCCTTTTGGGTTCAATGTAGTCACCGCCCAACTCGTGATGGTCTGCGTAATCTCCTGCAAATTATGTTGGGAAATTTTAACAGTATTTCTACTGCTTGTTTTCATTGGATGGAGCTGTTTATATCACACTTCCTTTACATTAGACCTCTCACTGTGGTTAGTAATTTTTAAAAGCAACTTTGAACTTTATTTCTCAATGTTTTTTTACTTTTTCCCAAACTTTCTAAACACCCTTAATGTTTATCAAAAAAATTTCAAGTAAAGGATAAATCTTTATCTTTGTATACTTTTACTTTATTTTTTTTCAGTCTAATTATAAATTCAGAACTTTGTTGATAAACATTCTATTTATGATTTATTTTTATAGTTTTGAATTATTTTATTGTTATGCATTCACTATGCATAAAATATGTGCCAATAGAGAACGCACTATGGCGCAAGTGCTTCTTGGAGGCTTAAAGCCAAAATGCATAATGCATAATGTTGTGTGCAATGTGCATTGTTATAAAAATATCCTAAATCATATATAAACATGAATTATAAGCGATGCCTTGTTGCTCTAATATAAGATAATTTTAGTATACATGAAGGTTTACTAAAGACAATAATATTGAAATATAAATTATCATGATAACTAAAATAATTAGATTTACAAATAAGTCTATCACGATTAGAGCAGTGAATAATATTGATAAAACTGAGAATTTGAGAGGGAAAAGCTTAAATTTTATTATGCAATCCACTCCCTATTTATAGATCTATACAAGGTATATTGATAAGGAAACAAATAACTCTATAATAATGAGAATACAATTATTCCTGAATTAATAAATCAACTATGGTTGCATGCTTTGAAGATCACCTTGGTGCACTATCGACCCCTCCGTTTGGTCAATACTTTCGGAGGAATTGATTTCTGACATTATGATAGTGATTAAGACTATCTACCTTGGTTAGCAATGAAGGCTTCCCGGAATAAATTTCCCTTGTTCGACAATAAAGGTCGATAAGTTTTTTTTTTTAATTATAAAAAAATAAAAAAAGGAACCGAACCAGTCATGCCTTAAAAGGAATAGCTCGGGTTGGACTTAGGGCACGGGACCCGGTTCTTGCATGCAGGCGCAGCTTTCTCCCGCGAATCGGGCTTCCGGCTTCGACTGGTCATGCAATCGGAAGTGAGGATCGAGTGGGGTGCTTCGCTCCTTCGACGATCTTTCCATCCATGTCGGATCGGTATGCTCGCCATCCTCAGTCCGCTCCTTCGTTCGTCGGCTCGGGAGAAGACAACCAACGATGGCGTTCGGACGCTCCTCCGGATTCTCTCGGATGTTCGGCTCTTAGCGGGAGTCTCGACGACTTTGGCCTTCCGCCTTCCTCTCGGATCGGAAGTTCCGATTATGCTTCAACTTCGTCTCGTCCATCCCGGCGTACACGGGTCGACACGATTAAGTCCGAGCCTTTTTTTTTCTCTTCCTCCTTCGACGATCTAGGATCGTTCTCCGACGACAATTAAGGCCGTGGCTCTAAGAGACTAATACCATGATAAAACTGAGAATTTGAGAGGGAAAAGCTTAAATTTTATTATGCAATCCACTCCCTATTTATAGATCTATACAAGGTATATTGATAAGGAAACAAATAACTCTATAATAATGAGAATACAATTATTCCTGAATTAATAAATCAACTATGGAAGGAATTAATGTGATCCAGGTAGTCTTCTCACGGATTAGTGTTTACAGCCGTGGGTTTCTGTTGTGATCGTGAGGTTGAGATTTAACAAATATTATGACAGACTATTACAGTTTGGAACGTCAGATTAAAACATAAGTAATATTTGGTTAACAAGATTCATATTTATAAAAATTAAACTACTCATCATGCTAATCATCATCAGCAAAATACCCTTGCCTCAATCTTTATAATCTGCTAAACCATAATTTTCTTCATCACCATCATAATTTAATGCTCATTTGTAAGTTTGCTGAGCCTAGATGAAGATTCCTATTATTTTCCCCTCGGTAAATCTTGAATGTTTTAGCTCCTTTCATGGATATCACTAGCTCATGCATCATTGCTCGATGTTAATTTTTGTTCACCGAACACCACTTCATCAAGTTCATTTAACTCATCATCCAATTTTCATGTTAACAATGTATTCATATCATTTATTTAATTAAAGGCCAATAATGTCACAATGGTTGTATCTATAAATTAAAGCCCTGTCATATTTTATGTAAATCAATTAATTTATGCTCAAGTTCTTAAACCAAAATAAAATAATTTAAAAAATAATTAAAAATATGAATGAAGAAAATACTATGTTCTATAGTGTTATTGCGCACAGTGCATGTTATTTTGCCTTTGTTCCTTGCTATGGGCTATAGTGAATGCTAATTGGCATGTATAATGCATAGTCAATTTGGCATTGGGCATTGGTTCAAATAAAAAAACAAGATGTGTGCTTCATTGAGGTGAATCACAACCTTGATTGTGCAGGATAATATCTCAATACAAGCAGTGATATCCTCGCATCAACAAACTAAAGCATGACATAAGATTATGTGAAAATTAGAAAAATAAAAAGAAATAAAAATGTGTCCATCATGTTTGAGAATATATAATCACATGATCATGAAATAGTAAACTAGAAGATTAGAGATGATTGATATGCTTTCCTAGACTTCTGGGCAAGGCTCCAACTTCTTAGATATCTTCCAAGAGAGTGCTGTCAAAAACACCTCCCAAACGTATTTTAGTGTAAGGTGATATGCATAGCTTTTGCCTTAGTGTTGTATTTTTTGTTATTATTTTTAAAGCATGCACAACCATAGTATGAGATGAAAGGCTATAAATCTAATGATAGGGACAAGCATATGTGTAATGAAGAAGAATGAATCGATAGCCATGAAGATTAGATTAAGTTTACACTACATAAATTACCAACTTATGTTTTTATTTACATATTTGAACTTGAAAAATAACTTTTTGGCATTGCTAGCACTTTATTTTATACAATCTATATGATAAGGATTAATGTTTTGGTATCTGGAATGATGAAAGACTTGAAAATATATTGTTTTTCCCATTATATTTTTATATTTTATTATGATGATTATCAAATTATACCCTTGAAAAGTATTCATCATAATAAGAATAAGCCTTTTTTCAACTCACTTAGTGTCAGGACTCTGTCGGAGACTGATGCAAACTAAATTTTGCAAATAAACACTTCCTTTCTAAATACTTAAGACAAACACAAACTCAAATAAAATTAAATAAGACACAATGACAACTTACAACTTATATATATATATATATTAGAGAAGAAAGATACAATGGAATGATAACTTGCGAAGAGAAGAAATAGATAAGAAGCCCGAGACGAATTATAAAAGAGGGGAGGGGAAGGAAACTAGCTCGCAAGCTCGATCAAAACTCGCAGGTTTTACATTCCAAAAATCATAACATACTCTTCCTAAAAATTGCCCAAAACTCCCCTTTAAATATGATAGAAGCATCCCAAAGGACACCCAAACAGCCAACCAAAAACAAGGAAAAAAAAGGTATCATTTAAGGCTCCCAGAAACCGAACCACCACAACCAGGAACCGGGACAAAAACAAGAATTGAGGGACCCAGGCAGAGGAACTGAACAACCAAGCGGGCAGGAACCGAACAGCCAGCAAGGGAACCTGGGGAGGCACTGCTTACATCAAATCTCCCCTTGTTGAGAGTTCTCATCTCCTGATGAGATGATTTTAGAGCTTCCTTGTGGCAAGACCCATCTGCTTGTTGGACTTCAAGATCACTTAGCATCATGATTTTCCATTTTTTTTCTTTTTTTTAGAAGAAAGGAAGACTAGAATGACAACCAAGAGCTCTGATACCAATTTGATGCAAACTAAATTTTGCAAATAAATGCTTCCTTTCTAAATACTTAAGACAAACACAAACTCAAATAAAATTAAATAAGACACAACGACAACTTACAACTTTTAATATTTTAGAGAAGAAAGATACAATGGAATGATAATTTGCGGAGAGAAGAAATAGATAAGAAGCCCGAGACGAATTATAAAAGAGGGGAGGGGAAGGAGACTAGCTCGCAAGCTAAATCAAAATTCACAGGTTTTACATTTCAAAAATCATAACATACTGTCCCTAAAAACTTCCCAAAACTCCCCTTTAAATAGGATAGAAGCAGCCCAAAGGACACCCAAACAGCCGCCCAAACAGCCAACCAAAAACAGGAAAAAAATGTATCATTTAAGGCTCCTAGAAATCGAACCACCACAACCAGGAACCGGGACAAAAATAGGAACCGATGGACCTAGGCAGAGGAACCAAACAGCCAAGCGGGCAGGAACCGAACAGCTAGCAAGGGAACCTGGGGAGGCATTGCTTACATCAGAGACTCAAATTAATGCGACGAATAGATAGTTATTTAACTTTTGTTCACTACAATTTCTAACAATAACCCTTTCCAATTTACTAAAAGAGCCACTAAAAACTCCTAAACTTTTTATGATACATGTAATAAAGTATAATTCTACTATCAATAATTTTGATATGACCATTCATTGAAATAAAAAAATGATAAGAAATATTTGAATTTTTTACAATAATAATGTATTAAATAAATATCAATTGGTTAAATGCAATCAAACTATAGGAAAATAATATTATTACTACAAAAATAGGAATATGAGTACTTGCCTCACTTATAGAAGATTCTTGCTGCCAACTCCCAACTTAAGTCATTAGTTTGTCTTCGTTCATTATATAAGTAATTTAGCACACTAATCTAATATTCTTTAAAAAAAAATCTTAATAAATAAAAAATTCTCACCTTTTAGATCGCATGAACCCATGCTAGCCTTGCTTGAGCCATCTCGCTTCATCGCTTCTCCCTCTCTATTTCTTGGTTTCTCTATCTTTTTCTCCCTCTTTCGATTTAAAAAGGAAAAGAAGCCTTTGTCTTCCTTGACATCAAGCGACTCGTCAGGCTTCATCTTCTCACTTGAGAACAAACCAACAATTGTAAATTCGGAACTGAAAGTTTGGGATATTACACTTAACTATGGTGAGTGCCCAAGCTTTCACATAGGGCCTTGGATTTTAGGCTACCAAGTCTTCTTGATGTGCTTAACGCCT